ATACTTGGTTACTGGACATTGCCCATATATTTACCAACATACTTGGTTACTGGACATTACCCATATATTTTCCAACATACCTGGTCACTGGGATTTGCATTCCCTTGCTTGTTAATATGAGGAACCGAAACTTTGGATAAACTGATAGATGTTCTTTCTGGTTCCTCGGATAAACTATCTGATGATCTTTCTGGTTCTTCTTGTGCTATAATATCCTCTGTCTGAAAATCTTCGTCTTGCTGTGAAACCTCATTTCCAGCGTCTGTGTCGGTAATTGGCTCTGTAGAATCGTCCTGATGACTCACGACCACCACTTCCGGTGTCAGTGCCCGGTTGGGGTTTTCTTGAAGACACTGCATGCATTCTTCGTCTTCACATTCCTCTGTTGTGGATTCATCCTCTGTAGTCGATGAGCAACAGCTACAGTAAGAATCACAACTACTGCAAGATATTGCTTCTGAGTTAGTTGCATCGCTAACACTACTAGCAGCACTCTCTGTGCACGTGCAAGTCAAAGAGCTTGTTTCATTGCATCCTGTACAACTACATGTTGTTGATGAATCATTAGCCTCTGTCGTTGTTCCTTGGTCCAAAGCAGATGGAGATGACATCGTGGTCGACTTTCCATTGGTATCTGTCGTTGTTCCTTGGTCTGAAGCAGATAGAGACGACATCGTGGTTGACTTTCCATTGCCATCTGTCATTGTTCCTTGGTCCAAAACAGATGGAGACAACATCGTGGTTGACTTTCCATTGGCATCTGTCGTTGTTCCTTGGTCCAAAGCAGATGGAGACAACATCGTGGTTGACTTTCCATTGGCATCTGTCGTTGTTCCTTGGTCCAAAGCAGATGGAGATGACATTGTGGTTGACTTTCCATTGGCATCTGTCGTTGTTCCTTCGTCCGAAGCAGATGGAGACGACGTCGTGGTCAATCTTCCATTTACCTTGTCTTCTTTGTGAGATTCAGATGCATTTTCATTGGCAATGTTGTTCTTGGAAATGGTACCATTTTCACATTGTTCAGAGGATGGCGTATGGCCACTCTCTTTATTCACATTTGGGTAAATTGCAAGTTCACCAAATGCAATATCTGTGGGAGAAATTATTTTACAGGTTGTTTTCTCAAGTTCGGGGCTAGTTAGGGCTAACTCTGGTTCACGTGCAGTTAATTCATGCTCTGAAATACTGTTAAAAGTATTTTTTTGTTTCAACTCATTTTCTAAACACAGTGTTTCCAGATTGCAAGTAATATGCTTTTTCTTTTTCAGTTTATTTTGTTTCTTTGCGGTATCGTCTTTTGTTTTAACTGGACTGTTAGACGATTGATGGTCTAATAGCGAAGCGCCATCGCCATTCCAAAATCCACTTTCATGTTTAAGACGATCATCAACTCTTTCTTTGTTTGTCATTTCGGAATGAAGCTCTTTCCTATTGAGTTTTGTCAAGGATTTGCTTTTTCTCCCAACTTCGTTGTGTTTTCTAATAACGTCACCAGGTGGCGCTCTAGAGAAGATTCTGGATTCTTTATCAGAATGTGCGGATAATCTTCGTTCAGCTGTTTAAAAGTGAAACGAGGAAGTGTGTAGTATGTAACCACAAAAACATAATACTTTTGACACTTTTAATAAAAAAAATGTTTTTGTCCAAAATTAAACCATTTAAAATTCCCATAATAAGTTGTTCGAATTCTAACAGCAACAATATTATGTTTTATAACTTTACATAATTTCATCGATTATTTCAGACAAAGAAACAAGAGAAAAATAGTTTTACAACGATTTCAAAATCAATAAGAAACGTTTTTCCTCACTTTTCCTATTGTTCCCTTTGGTGAATGAAGTTTCAAAATTTGTCGAGTCATAACTGCATTCGGAAGAAGAGCACGAGATCTTGTCATATGACTCCGAGTTCCGTCGCTTGGAGCCGCTTCCGTCGACAAAAGTATGTATAGCTGAATCAAAATAAAACATACAAGTTTCATACGGTGATTTGTTTGATATGGATTTCGCACAAAGCTACACGAGAGCTATCTGCGCTAGCCGTCCCTAATTTAGTAGTGTAAGACTAGAAGGAAGGCAGTCGTCACCACCCACCGCCAACTCTTGTGCTACTCTTTTACCAACGAATAGTGAAATTGACCGTCATATTATAACGCCCCCACGTCTGAAAAGACGAGAATGTTTAGTGTGACGGGGATTCGAACCCGCAACACGCAGATTGCGAGTCGAGCGCCCTAACCCCTAAAAAAATAATGACGTAATTTTAAGATTATGAAGTTGGAAGTTAATTTTCTATTATTCTATTTACGTTTTAGAAATTTCATAATTTTGTAATTATGTTGTAACTTGATAAGTTTGTAATTATGTAATTATGTTGTAACTTGATAAGTTTGTAATTATGTTGTAACTTGATAAGTTTGTAATTATGACAACATAATTACAAACTTATCAAGTTACAACATAATTACAAACTTATCAAGTTACAACATAATTAACAAAGTCTATCTTCTTCTATTCTTGTGAAAATATTTTCTTCTTACAACATAATTACAAAGTTATCAAGCTACAACATAATTACAAACTTATCAAGTTACAACATAATTACATAATTACAAAGTTATCAAGTTACAACATAATTACAAAGTTATCAAGTTACAACATAATTACATAATTACAAAGTTATCAAGTTACAACATAATTACATAATTACAAAGTTATCAAGTTACAACATAATTACAAACTTATCAAGTTACAACATAATTACATAATTACAAAGTTATCAAGTTACAACATAATTACAAACTTATCAAGTTACAACATAATTACATAATTACAAACTTATCAAGTTACAACATAATTACAAACTTATCAAGTTACAACATAATTACAAACTTATCAAGTTACAACATAATTACAAACTTATCAAGCTCACAACAGTGGACGAAGACAATATTTTCACAAGAATAGAACAAGATAGACTTTGTCACAACAGTGGAAGAAGGAAAATATTGTCACAAGAGTAGAACAAGGTAAACTTTGTCACAACAGTGGACGAAGACAATATTTTCACAAGAATAGAACAAGATAGACTTTGTCACAACAGTGGAAGAAGGAAAATATTGTCACAAGAGTAGAACAAGATAGACTTTGTCACAACAGTGGAAGAAGGAAAATATTGTCACAAGAGTAGAACAAGATAGACTTTGTCACAACAATGGAAGAAGGAAAATATTGTCACAAGAGTAGAACAAGATAGACTTTGTCACAACAGTGGAAGAAGGAAAATATTGTCACAAGAGTAGAACAAGATAGACTTTGTCACAACAGTGGAAGAAGAAAATATTGTCACAAGAGTAGAACAAGGTAAACTTTGTCACAACAGTGGAAGAAGAAAATATTGTCACAAGAGTAGAACAAGGTAAACTTTGTCACAACAGTGGAAGAAGGAAAATATTGTCACAAGAGTAGAACAAGATAGACTTTGTCACAACAGTGGAAGAAGGAAAATATTGTCACAATAGTAGAACAAGATAGACTTTGTCACAACAGTGGAAGAAGGAAAATATTGTCACAATAGTAGAACAAGGTAAACTTTGTCACAACAGTGGAAGAAGGAAAATATTGTCACAAGAGTAGAACAAGGTAAACTTTGTCACAACAATGGAGAAGGAAAATATTGTCACAAGAGTAGAACAAGGTAAACTTTGTCACAACAGTGGAAGAAGGAAAACATTGTTACAGTTGAATGAAGTAGATGTTATCATAGCAGTTGAACAAGAATACGATTGTAATTCAACAAAGTAAATATTTTAATAACTGTTAAACAACATAGCTGCTCACCGTTTTCAAAGTCTGCTATCTCTATTTCTGTTTGTACGCACGTATCCTTTACAGTGTGAGGTCGATAACGAAGGAACTTCTGAAATAAAGTATTCTAATAATTAAATAATGATAAGATTAAATTTTTAAAAAATGCTTTGGAGGAAGAAACGTCAGACACTATTTACCGTTCCAACAAAAGCAAAACAATTCAAACGAAAATCATATAAATATAAAACTGAGATTTCTATCATTATACGGAGTTTAGTGTGTTATATTAAAACGATTTTTAATATGTGGATCAGCAAGTCACGTGACAACCACAAGTCACGGTGGAACAGATTACATCAGAACTACATATTGATATTGTTTGGAGGTAGTGTGGTGTCGGCAAAAGTTTATTGCCCTTGGGAAGGATATGTAACAGCCCTTTTAGACGCAAAATATTTGTATAATGAGGTTATAAACATGTGCCCAGACAGGATATTTAAAATTTTCCATGTCGGGGATATCCATTGCACTTAATGGCATCAGAAAATAAAGGAATGTGGATCAACTTTGGGTACCAGGACCATCCATAAAGATACCCGCAACAAGTCGTACCTTAGCTGTGGTAAGCAAAGTGCAGCATCTTGTAACAGGTGAAAATCCACGAACACAAAGTTCAGTATGCAACATATTCAAGAATGGTCTGTATATGGAAAAATTACACAAGTCACGTGTACACAAGTTGATTTCACAACATATCTGTTTAACCATCGCATCCTTGAAGCAATTGAAGAAAAAAATAGGTATTTATGATATTCCAATACGAAGAAATACCAGTCAGTTTACCACTTGCAGTACCTTTCGATTTCTGTGCAATCAGAATTTTGAAACAAACACTGAGAAGCCATCTTCCCTGTACAGTAATATGGATTATAGAGAGCATTCAAGGAGTAGTGTTGTGCTTTGGTATGAGAGCCTCACATGGAGCCTTTTGTAAGTGAAACTACGCTGCAGGTCTATTGTCAAAATGCACGACCGTCAGATAGAGTATGATCGGACGCGAAGACATGGACTGTAACGACGTGGTTGACCTCCAAAATCGTTTTAATATAACATATTCAAACTCTACATTGTTTCGACTTCTAGTAAAATTATCGGTTTATAATATATATAAAGTTCAACCAACTTGTTGATCGGTCACTTGTATAATCATGAGCATGCACAAAATTTTAGAATAAAAAGGGGAACTTTAGAAAAATCATTGTCTAATAAAAAAAAAGAAAAAAAGATATAACATCAAGAGATTAATAAAACGATTTTTTCACTCCAGATGTACATGGAAATATTTAGGGTTAACATACGTCACTCAAACTGAAGAAAGGTGTTTAACCCCATACTCAGTAAATGCACTAACCTTTATTTAAAACGACATACTTACCGCTTTTCTCCGGTTTCTGATTGGTGGCGCTGTTTTAATTCGTGGTAGACGCTTTTTACTGCCTCCAGATGACGCTTTAGTGAGTGGTAAAGCTGGACAGTTCGTACTGCGACTTCCTGGCCACGTTCTGAAGCTTAGTCTGGAACATTATTATATAACCTTTCAGTAACTTTGTAATTCTAATATGATCACTTAACTTTGCCTTAAGCAATCCTTTCTAGATTTTTTAATTTTTTTTAGTTGCTGTATGCTGAAATATGGATTATATTCATGCACAATACATACCGAAAACATTGAACATCAAGGAATCATTTACATAAAATACAATTCAGTCTGTTAATCAGATCACACATGCCACGAGTAATTGTTTATTTTTCTTACCACGCATGTAAAAATACATCACCTGCTTACAGCTCTGCTCTGAGTGCCATCTAGTGGAGAATATCGCATACCGTCTCCACCTTTATCCGCTGGCATTTCCTGAAAAGTAAACATCGTGGCTTTTGATGCTAACTTAATATTATGCGCAGGTTTTGAACGTGTATTTTAAGTATCTAAATTAATAACAACAGAGAGAGGTATTTAGATTAGATGTTAGTGTTAACAAAAGGATTTGAGAACGATTTTTTAAATTAATAACAACAGAGAGATGTATTTAGATTAGATGTTAGTGTTAGCAAAAGGATTTGAGAACGATTTTTTTCTTTATGAACATGGATAGTCCACCGACCGCATCGCACGTGGAGCTTTAATTTTTTTTAAATATTGTTCATTAAGAATAACAGAAAACAAAAGTGTTTAAAAATACTTGTAAATAGAAACAGAAATTAATTATAAAAATATTTCACTTAACGTTAGGTAAGACGTGTAATATTTCAAAACATAGAACATTCGAAAAATCCCCGATTTCAAATTACGAGTATTCGTAAGTATTATAAAAATTAAAGCATTTCGCGATGTACCTTGGAAGTAAAAGATTGGAGTCGTGATTTCTCTTCTAGATGAGGCAAACTTTCAGCAATCTGAATCAAAGGAGAAGTGTTAAGGAAAACAAGTATGTTGTAATACACAGATGATATGAAAGCAAACACAGTCCACTCGTGGTTACTATAACAAGCTTTGTATCAAATCAGGTTAATAACAGACTAAAATTATAAAAGGAAACAATATTTTAACTTATTTTAATAGCTAAATTTTCATGCGTTGATTAACTTAAAAGTACTTGTTAAATCCTAATGAAACAAAAACATGATCACAGAAAACACATTGTATCAGGCAACATTTACATGATAATATGACATAAAACGCCAGGTAATAGATACACGATATTACGACATTAAACATCAGGCAACAGTTACATGATAATATGACATAAAACGCCAGGTAATAGATACACGATAATATGGCATTAAACATCAGGCAAAAGTTACATGATAATATGACATAAAACGCCAGGCAATAGATACACGATAATACGACATTAAACATCAGGCAACAGTTACATGATAATATGATATAAAACATCAGGCAACAGTTACATGATAATATGACATAAAACGGCAGGCAATAGATACACGATAATACGACATTAAACATCAGGCAACAGTTACATGATAATACGACATAAAACGGCAGGCAATAGATACACGATAACATGGCATTAAACATCAGGCAACAGTTACATGATAATACGACATAAAACGCCAGGCAACAGTTACATGATAATATGATATAAAACATCAGGCAACAGTTACACGATAATATTATATAAAACATCAGGCAACAGTTACATGATAATATTATATTAAACATCGGGCAACAGTTACACGATAATATTATATTAAACATCGGGCAACAGTTACATGATATGACATAAAACATCAGACAACAGTTACATGATTATATGATATATAAAGTCAAAGAACAGTTATATGATAATACGGCATATACGTAAAAGACCTCGTGCCTAACTTAATTGTCAATTGATTATCGTAAATGCTATAAATATCACTTGTGAGAACGAACAAAATTCAAAACGAATTTATATGAAAAAAAAATCAGCAACAGGATTTCAAAATAATGGAAAACACAAGGGGGGTGGGGAAAAGAGGAGATATCGTACCAATACCGAACAAAACATATAAAACTGATGTTAAATATTGACATGATACAAGAGACAAGTAACACAACGTGACATATTTACAAGTGTCATAATAATATTAAAGAAATATCATTTGTACCTCAGTCCTGTCGTTCACACCTTCCTTATTCAGGATACACTCCTGCCAAATAACAAACCTAACATGAGCACATGTTATATTTTTTAACAAGATTTCGAAGCGAGTAAATAATTTACTTATGAATGTCTTGCTGCTTTCAATTACACTCTATTTATATCCTATGAGTTAGAATAGAAATAATATAAAGAACATATTTCAAACAAACTGTGTCACTGTTGATCTTAAGGTTCAGTTCCTGTAATTCCTATCTAACTCCACCACACGTTAAACTAAACACATTATTTATACTGAGAAAGGTTTTAACTTGGGTTACATTTAATCACTTTTCTTATTGTATTATTTATTTCTACTTTATATCGTGATTTTTGTCGGGACATTATTTATTTTACGACAGTAGTTTGGTTTCATTTTAAAAATATACAGTATTTATTTTAAGACGGTAGTTTGGTTTAACTTTAAAGGTATACAGTATTTATTTTAAGACGGTAGTTTGGTTTCACTTTAAAGGTATACATTATTTATTTTAAGACGGTAGTTTGGTTTAACTTTAAAGATATACATTA